ATCCAGAAGCACCTCAAGTCCCCTGACCACAACTACAATCGCAAGGTACAAACGCCCTTCAGATCAATCCGAGGCTTTGAGCTGCTGGTGAAGTGCTTGCGTGACCTCTGACCTCTGTCTGTGTGTGTCAGGGCACGATGGAGCAGTCCAAGAGGTCGAGTCTGTCCGTGGCGCGCAGCATCCTCAACCACAAGGTCATCGGCAAGAAGCTGGAGAGCTACCTGAAGGTGCGTGTCTGTCTCTCACGCGTCACATGCTGCACTTCATCATTTTGTGGTCCTGAAACCATATTTTGCCATATGTATGTGGTTTTTAACTTTAACTTGTTTTAAAAATGTCACTCTACATGTCACTACATGTATAAATAACTATATCATGAAATATATCGTTACCGTGAAATACAATTCGTCATACCGTGACTGGGGGGCCAGTTTTCTCTCAGAAATTGCTTGTAAATTTTGTAACACTTTATTTTCAGGTGTCCTTGTTACACATGTTACATGTACTTACTATTACAATAACAATTAATTATGCATAATTACATGCAAGTAACTCTAAGCCAAACCTAAATCCTAACCATATAGTAAGTACATGTAGTTAATTAATATTACTCCGCACTTATGTGAATATAAATAAGTACAAGGAAACAGCAAATAACAACCTGAATTTTAACGTGACGTTTTAAATTGTATTTTCTCGTAAAGCGTGCTCTTTATTTACAAATTTGAAAACATTTGTTACGGTGTAGTGTAGGGCTAGTGTTGATTTATGCCTTTTTCAAAGGACAAAACGAGCGCGCTATAAATCAATACACGCGTCACTCTTAATAAACATTTGAAATATTGTTTTATTTGTAAGTTTTTGAGTTGCGTTTGTCGTTTGGCAGGGTGAAAACCCATTCAACGGTAACCAGGACGACCAGGATCCCGAGGACTCCATGGGGATGGAGGTTTCTGAGGCCGATCTCACCAATGAAAGCCTGAATGAGATCAAACCGGAAGAGGAGGGGCCTCTGGTGGAGGGGGCGGAGCCTGTCGCAGAAGCTGTTGGAAATGGGGAGGAGGATGAAGAGGATGCGAAGATGGAGGCTGTGGAGGGAGAGGAGGGCGTGGAGGCAGACGAGGGCGAGGAGGGTGTGGAGGCGGAGGACGGCGAGGAGGAGGGTGTGGAGGAGGCAGAGGAGGGTGTGGAGGCGGAGGACGGCGAGGAGGGTGTGGAGGTGGGTGAGGAGGAGGCAGCTGAGCACGGCGTTGATGCAGGAGCCGCAGGAGACGCTGATGCAGTACCGGCCGAATAATCGTTAACGAAACCGCTGATTAGTGTCCATTTGAAGAATCACTTCTACATCCTAAACCTTTGAACTTTATATGAAAGCTAACCCTGGATCAGGGCAGAAATGCAGCCTGAGGACCAATCAGAATAAAGCCTGCCTCGTGTTTGTCCAATCACAGGATTGCTCCGCCCCTCTACGCATGTGCGTTTGGTCTGATTAGATGCGCGCGTGTCATGTGACTGTTGATGTGCCTCTTGAGATGATTTCAGTTTGTCACGTCTTTACACGCTGAAGCAAAACGTTTAATTTCCTTCTGATTTTTCGTTTGGTTTGGTTTCATGGATGTTGCCCTGTAGAGCAGAAGTGAAATGCTTTAATTTAGCAGTTGCCACTCAATGTTTTTCTCTTGTGTTGAGGAAATAAATGTTTGTAAAGTCTTTTGAGTGTCTTGAGTGTTTTCCTGAGTGATGTTTTGTCAGGCAAGTTTAATTGTTACGAAGCAACATGGTTTTTCAGGTTATTTTTTTAGTAGAAACTGATATGCTGTTTTAAAAATCACAATTGATGGAAATTCAACAATAATATGGTTAATATATAATATATAAGTTAATTACAATTTTGAAATATTAGTAGTTTGTCTATAAAATGTATGAAGTTTGTTTATTTGTAGTTATTTTAGTTCTTCAGCTTAACCTGTAGGAAAATAAGAAATAAATATAGCTGCAAGCAGCGATTATCAGGGATCGAGCGCTTTTAGGCATTTAAGCACGTGAAAAAAGACATTACATATTATTTATCAAAACTAACCACCTAAATCAATGATTTAAAAAGCTTTTTTGGAAAATCCAGGTAATTTGGCATAGAAATATGATTTTTAATGGTTATGACTGTTATAGCGCCACCTGTGGTCCAGTAAGCATGACATTTTGCATGCTTGTTTAAAATGACCCCTCGCATATGTTCACCTAGTTTCGTGAAGCTTTGAGTTTTCGATTTATTGGCTTTTGGGTGTATTTGGACACACCGCTCTTCTAAACGACCTCGTTATAGCAACCCAAAAGGTAAAGTTAAACTTTTTTTGGATGATTTTTAACCTAGAGTCCAGAGAAATGTACGGCAGACAAGTGTTTTTTTTTTTTTTTTCTGAGATTGAGTGAAAAACCTAGGATTAGTTTGCAAAAGTAGTTTTTTTTTTCCATATTCTCATTTAACAAACTATTTGATTGACATCAGTGTTTCTATAGGCAAAGTTGTTCAGAATGAGGAGATCTATCAGATGATACGAACATATACTTTCCAGAAGGCCAACAATTCACTAAAAATGTTTTTTTATTGGTCTTATGAAGTATTCTAATTTGTTGAGATAGTGAATTGGTGGGTTTTTGTGAAATGTGAGCCAAAATCATCACAATTAAAAGAACCAAAGACTTAAACTACTTCAGTCTGTGTGCATTGAATTTATTTAATACACGAGTTTCACAATTTGAGTTGAATTACTGAAATAAATGAACTTTTCCACGACATTCTAATTTATTGAGATGCACCTGCATATGTGAAAAACCGCGCAATATACAATAATTTACGTCCTTGAAAAATGCGATGTGGCCGATTTCTATCAAATTTCTCACAGACCTTTAGGGCCACGAGTCAAACAGGCCCACTGAATTTTGTTCTGATCAGCCTCTGTTAACCTTGTCTAATAGGTGCTCAAACTTAAATGTTTTCTGAGATACGCAAATGTCCTTATAGACACTTGTGGCACATTGGATAAAGATGCCACATCCCAATTTTCATGTTGATCGGACAAATGATTGCGTCGTTATAGCCATTTTAAAGTTTTTTTTCCCTCTTATAGGGCCACCAAGTGGCATGCTCCGTGCTTTTATTTCATGTGACCTCAGACTGAGCTGTTACATGACTGATCTGAGTTTGGTGAAGATATCTCATTCCGTTCAGAAGCTAAAGCCGTTTTAGTAAAAGGGGCCCCGGGCCCTTTAGTTTTGGTGTCCCTTTGCGACAGTGATTGAAAAAGTTAAAGTTTTTATTTTGATATTTACTGATATTCACTCTCCAGAGAATCTTTCTGCACTGGTTTGGTTCCGAAAAACCTAGGACTGGCTTGCAAAAGTAGACTTTTCAAAAAATCCGGTTTAGGAGTTATGAGCGATGTCGTACTTTAGCTCGCTGTAGCGCCCCGTCAGGCCGATTGGGGCGAGCTTTGGTGCAGTTGTAGACGGTTGGGAGTACTACCATCCCTCCAAGTTTCAAGTCTCTACGACTCACGGTTTGGTCTGCCCGATCAGTCTTAGGTGGAGATGAATGATCCTGGGCCTTTCTAACAATTACACTAGTGTTTCAGTGCTACACGCTTGAACCTTTAATAAAAGTGAAATATAAGCCCTTAAGAATGATATTAAAGAATAAATGGATTCTGAGATTTTAGCAATCATGAGTGTATAAACCTCTCAGTTCAAAAAAGAAACTTGAACTCGATGAGAATCTGACACTTTTTATGTTTGGATTATTTGCTATTTTTGCTGTATAGCGGCATTTCTCCCTCAAGGATGCATTTCTATGATATTGGCGTTTTGTATGAAAAAAGCAATGGCCGTGTGGTCGATATCTGGAGCTGCAACAGATAAAGCTGAGATGTTTGTGTTATAGACTGTATTAATGATGAGTGTATGAGGCCTGATATTACTGGCACTTTAATCTGAACACTAGTTTGTGCGGCTCTGGATGACTCCTGATGATATTTGCCATATTTAATAATAACAAAGAGGCTTTAATGTGAGTTTTAGTACAAATGTAAATGAATATCTTCAGCAGCAGAGGGAGCAACACACACACTAATGTGCTTGTGTGTGTGTGTGTGTGTGTGTGTGTGTGAGTGAGTGTGTGTGTGTGTGTGTGTGTGTGTGTGTGCGTGAGTGTGTGTGTGTGTGTGTGTGTGTGTGTGTGCGTGAGTGTGTGTGTGTGTGTGTGTGTGTGTGTGTGCGTGAGTGTGTGTGTGTGTGTGTGTGTGTGTGTGTGCGTGAGTGTGTGTGTGTGTGTGTGTGTGTGTGTGTGCGTGAGTGTGTGTGTGTGTGTGTGTGTGTGTGTGTGCGTGAGTGTGTGTGTGTGTGTGTGTGTGTGTGTGTGCGTGAGTGTGTGTGTGTGTGTGTGTGTGTGTGTGTGCGTGAGTGTGTGTGTGTGTGTGTGTGTGTGTGTGTGCGTGAGTGTGTGTGTGTGTGTGTGTGTGTGTGTGTGCGTGAGTGTGTGTGTGTGTGTGTGTGTGTGTGTGTGCGTGAGTGTGTGTGTGTGTGTGTGTGTGTGTGTGTGCGTGAGTGTGTGTGTGTGTGTGTGTGTGTGTGTGTGCGTGAGTGTGTGTGTGTGTGTGTGTGTGTGTGTGTGCGTGAGTGTGTGTGTGTGTGTGTGTGTGTGTGTGTGCGTGAGTGTGTGTGTGTGTGTGTGTGTGTGTGTGTGCGTGAGTGTGTGTGTGTGTGTGTGTGTGTGTGTGTGCGTGAGTGTGTGTGTGTGTGTGTGTGTGTGTGTGTGTGTGTTTGGGTGGAGTGATATCTCAGCAGCCTCCTCCTCAAATCTGAACCAGATGATAGGAAACAGCTCCATCTGAGCGATTTAAAGAGCAGTACAGAGTTACAAATATCCTACGCTGCTCATTGGTCAATGGCGTCACCTGCATCCAATCAGCCGCGTCCTCAGAGGCGCGTCAGGCCCCGCCCCCAGCAGCAGCAGCACAGGTGAGTGCGGAGAGAGCACGCGCGGAGCAGCGGCGAGAGGTTCGGTTCGGTTCGGTGCGGCTGAGCGGAGGACACCGTGAGTACCGCGCTGCTTCCCTGAGCTGCTCACGAGCGGTTGTGCTGATGACAGAGTTTCACTGTCACGGCGGGGTGCGTGTTTATGACTGAGCGCTACTCAGAAACTTGTGTGTGTGTCTCTCTCTGTGTGTGTGTGTGTGTGTGTGTGTGAGAGAGAGAAGTGATTGTAGTAAGCAGATCACTCACACAGGTTTCTGTGGATTGTGGGGACTTTTCATAGACTTATATTGTCTTTATTCTGACCAAACGATATTTTCTATATGTAACATAAACACACTCTCTCTCTCTCTCTCTCTCTCTCTCTCACACACACACACACACACACAGAGAGAGAGACACACACACACACACACGGAGAGAGAGACACATACAGAGTGTTTAGCACTAAGTGTTTGTTTGCCATTTGACCACCTCATTAATATTTATAATGATAGCAAACGGATTGTTATTGCTGCTCAGGAGAGCTGGTTTGATCTTAGCACTTATATTAAGCACAGAAGTTCTTCCTCACATTCACTCGATCTGTTTAAAGGAGTGAAAACCCCCCAAACCTGTCTGAGTTTCTTTCTTCTGTTGAGCACAAAAGCAGATATTTTGAAGAATGTTGTTATGCGAACAGCTGATTGACTTCCAGAGTTGATTTTTCCTCCGTGATCAAGTCTTCTCTCAGACCTGTGGAACGAAAACATCCAAAATACACATTTAAGTGTTTGTTTTCGAGCACTTTCTGTTTGTGACAGCAGCCTCCCAAAGACACAGTTACTCATGATCTGATAATCTACTGAGTGTTAATGCAGATAAACATTCGTGTTGAAGCAGTGAGGAAATAAGAAAACTCTTCTTAAACCGGAAATGATTTCGGCAGAATATAAGCGGTAAGGAACATTTAAGAGATGAAGAAGAGGCATTAGAGAGTATCAGTTAATTATGACTCATTTATTGCTGTTGTGTGAATGATATGCAATCATGTAATTAGGGCTGGGCGATATGGCCAAAAAAATTCATGATATCATTTTTCATATCAGTCGATACCGATAATTATCTCGATTAATGTCAAATCTTTATTTCTTTCAAGTCAAAAGGCAGATTTTATTCAAATTAACCATTGGTTCTCCATAGTAGCATACATTTAGATCATGTTAACCACAGTGAACCACACATGCAGCACCTCAACGCCATGGTAAAAATATAACTCTGTAACTAGGGTTTCTAGGTATTTGTATGAAAAACAAACACTATAGCTTAATTTCTGCCACAACAGCACGCTGCAGTCAGTGTTACTGCGGTAAACATGGTAATGAAGAAGTCCTCTGCTGCTTGAGTCAGTTGTGTTCTGCTTGAAATCAACACGGACTCTTCTGGTTTTTTATGGGCTGTTGCAGTGTTTATTATAATGATATGCACATAAATATTGATGTGCACGGATAAATCATTCATAATATACAGTGAAAAAATTATTTAAAAAATAAAAGCGTTGGGGTTTGATTTCATGGTGGCTTATTTTGCACATCAGAATTATGATAAATTCAACATAAATTTGAACCTAAATTTAGTCAAATGTGTCCAGACGTTTGGCGGGCTCATTTTTATCCATGAGAAACTCAGACTCGTCACATTTCCCAGACCAATGTGAAAATACTAAAATAAAGATTTTTACATTTTTTAAAAGGGAAGTGAAAGGCAGAAAATGAAGTGGTGTATGAGTGTGTGTGTGTGTGTGTGTGTGTGTGTGAGTGTGTCTGTCTGTGTGTGTGTGTGTGAGTGTGTGTTTGTTTGTTTGTGTGTGTTTGTTTGTGTGTGTGTGTGTGTGTGTGAGAGAGTCTGGAGCAGATCTGATATCTTGACTACTGACGGTTTGACTTCACTCGTCTCAGTTCCTGTGTGTGAGTGTGTTAGTTTGCGTTCTTCTGCTACCTGTGCAGATGCTGGCAGTTTATAGTCCGGTGTGATTTACGTGAAGTTCACAGACAGCGAGAGCGAGGGTGTGTCTGATTCTGTAATAACAGGTTTAAGTTCATAAGAGGGTTGTTGAAGTTCATTTGACTACACACACACACACACACACACACACAGATGTTTGAGATAGCTATTAGAGCAAATCTTTGTCTTACTTTCATTTCTGTCTCTGCTCTTTGTATAAGAATGTTTCTCTTGGTTTTTATGGTTGATGATGAAACTTCCTCCAAACTCACTGAAGATTTTATGACTGCTAGTCTGAGTGTGTCTGTCTGTGAGTGTGTCTGTGTGTGTGTCTGTGAGTATGTCTGTGTGTGTGTCTGTGAGTATGTCTGTGAGTATGTCTGTGAGTATGTCTGTGAGTATGTCTGTGTGTGTGTCTGTGTGTGTGTCTGTGTGTGTGTCTGTGAGTATGTGTGTGTCTGTGTGTCTGTGTGTGTGTGTGTCTGTGTCTTTGTGTGTGTCTGAGTATGTCTGTGTGTGTGTGTGTGTCTGTGTCTTTGTGTGTGTCTGTGAGTATGTCTGTGTGTGTGTGTGTCTGTGAGTATGTCTGTGTGTGTGTGTGTCTGAGTATGTCTGTGTGTGTGTGTGTGTGTGTCTGTGAGTATGTCTGTGTGTGTCTGTGTCTTTGTGTGTGTCTGTGAGTATGTATGTGTCTGTCTGTCTGTCTGTCTGTGTGTGTGTGTGTCTGTGTCTTTGTGTGTGTCTGTGTCTTTGTGTGTGTCTGTGTCTTTGTCTTTGTCTGTGTGTGTCTGTAGTGGTTAAACAGATCGTAGTTGATCCGTGATCCGTACAGACCAAGCCCTACGGATCGGCTTGCATGTCATCCGTGGAGTAATTGCAAAATTTTAACATAATAGAGTATACGTTTATCATTCAAGTTTTTCAAGTTTTTTGTACAGCGCTTTTCACGATACAAATCATTGCAAAGCAACTTAACAGCAAATTAGTTTCTACAATATTTAGTGGTAGTTTATCAGTGGTGACTGTCAGTTTATGTACATATGGGAGAAATGTACGGAAAAATCAATTAAAGACGTAATCAAACAGACGATGAACAATATTAACAGCAATTATTATATGATGCAATCAAACTTATAGCAGAATGTGGTAGTTCTGTATGTTGTTTCAGGGTTGGCATCATCTGAGTCCTCTGAGGGGTTGCATCATCTCTTCTCAGGTGTTCTGGATCCAGACTGAAGCTTGTGTAAATCCTAGTTACCACGGGATGCCAATCCCAGCAGAAACAGAGAAACAAATACAAACATAATTAGCGTAGCTGCTGTTCCAACCAAGCAAAATTGATTTGTTTAACCCAAACTAAAGAATAATAATGTGCATTTGATCAGATATAACTGCAGTAAAAGATTATGAGATGCATTATTTGAATGCTTGGCCAAAGAGATGTGTCTTTAATCTAGATTTAAACAGAGAGAGTGTGTCTGAACCCCGAACGTTATCAGGAAGGCTATTCCAGAGTTTGGGAGCCAAATGCGAAAAAGCTCTACCTCCTTTAGTGGACTTTGATATCCTAGGTACTACCAAAAGTCCAGAATTTTGCGACCTTAGGGGGACATCTGGGAAGATCGCGTCCTGGGTGCACCGGGCCTGTGCAGAGAAAAACACGGAGTAGAGGTGGTGGGAGAGTTAGCAGCGCGCTGTATACTGACCTCGGACTTGTGAGCGTCAGCCTGATTGATTGTTGATGATTCCAGCGCAGCTCTCCGCTCTCTCAGCTGGGTCTGCCTCTCCACCAGGTCGAATGCACCGAATGCAGCTCGAACGTGTCCTCACCTGCACTCAAAGGTAGACACACATCCGCCATTAAAGCAAGTAACAGTGAGTAAAACAATGGTAATGTGTGTGAATAGAGTATTAGCAATGTAAGCGAGATTAGCGGCAACCACGCTGGCGATGCTAACGGCCTATATGCTAATAGCGGACTCGGGAAGTCAAAATAGAACTAGTGTAGAAACGAAAATGATGGTGTATAAAATTTACTTTAAGATAAAAAATAGACGATAAAGATTATATATATATAATTTGTGTGTATGTTACGATATAACTAACGAGGTCATATTCAGAAGACAATGAAACCGAAACCAAATAGCGTTGAAATAGGAAGTAAAGTAAACAGAAGAGAATGACAAAATAACGGTCCACATAACAGAACATAAACCTGACAATTAGATCGTTAGGCTATCGTTAGCCTATATGTATAACAGTTAGCCTAGTTGTAATCTGATCTTCTAATCTGACTGGACAAGAGACTTTCTATTGATATTTCCCCCTGCCGCGTTCTAGACGGCTGTCAGTCAGTGCAGTTACAGTGTTGCGCCACAAGGTGGAGGAAAGGGACTGTCATTCAACTACACGCTCAAAAACACTGATTCATTCATTCAAAGAGACTATTGAAACACGCTGCTGAAATCATTTTAACTTTGAGCGCCACTTTAGAAGGCTCAGCTGACCAGCTATGCGTCTGCCTGGAGGATATAACTCTGCCTATATATAACTCTGCCTGGAGGACAGACGCAAGTAATCTCACGCTCAGTCGATCTCGCTCTCATTCACGGTCTGTTTAGGCTTGTTAAGTGCAAATCTACAGAGCCTCTGTACAAATCAGCATGGTACACATTATGTTATCATTACTAACTTGTTTAATATTCAGTCCACATGCATGAAGTGTAAAACGAGAATGGCATAACTTTACGAAAAAAGAAAACACGCAAAAATTGCGGTTGCTGCGGTGCTTGCATTCCTCAGCGGTTTGCTCGTCAATAGTGCGGTATTGCGATATTGCGGTTATCGCGACAGCCCTACGTAAGTAGACATTGATTGGCCAAACATGTACGAAAACGCCCTCACCCGCCATGATTTAAAACTCCGTGTAAACATACTGTAAACATTGTGTCAACTTATTTCGCAAGTATGGAGAACAGCGATAGATGGACGGACGCTGAAGTGCAGGCACTTGCAGCAAATGTAGCACTGCCAGTTGTCGTTGGAGATTCTTAGTCCTCCTTTCTGTTCTTTCATTCGCTTTACGTATACGTCGACTTTCCATGTGCATTATTGTGAAACCCACGAGACACAACAAACACAGCTCCGATCACAGCGTCCTCCATCCTCCTGTTGTTAATGTTGTTCTTCTTTGTTTCTGTTGTTGAACGCCGCACACTTCTTAAGAAGTACACACTCTCGGTGCGAATGCTACCCTTTAAATGGTCCTGGGAACTAGTTCGCGCAAAATCATCCCAGTACTTTAGTACCGTACGTTTAGTTCTGGAACTAAAGCGGTGCGAAAGGCCCTACTGCTGCTGTCATTAATGATCATCAAACAACAAAACAGCTGTGATAAAAATCTATATTTCATTTATAGAGTGAACACTATGCAGTGTTATTTTCCATAATTTTTCCATTTCTGTATTTGAATACTACCAGCCTTACTTAATTTGTAGCACATTCTGTTGTATTTATCTATGCTTGTAATTTGTGTATTTGTTCTTATTTTTACTGTTCTCTTGTCTCTTTAATTGAGCGTGTGTCTGTGTGTCTGTGAGCGTGTGTCTGTGAGCGTGTGTCTGTGAGCGTGTGTGTGTGTGAGCGTGTGTCTGTGAGCGTGTGTGTGTGTGAGCGTGTGTGTCTGTGTGAGTGTGTGTGTGACTGTGAGTGTGTCTGTGAGAGTGTGTGTCTGTCTGTCTGTCTGTCTTGTCTGTCTGTCTTGTCTGTCTGTCTGTGTGAGTGTCTGTCTGTCTGTCTGTCTGTGAGCTGTTAGTGAGCTGTTAGTGAGCTGTGAGCTGTTAGTGAGCTGTGTGTGTCTGTGAGTGTGTGAGAAGTTCTCATGAAACACGAGCTGAGTTTTGTTTGAATTTCTTCAAAAGTACAATCATCTGGTTAGTTGGCAGCGGCTGGTGGTCGGATCGGGTGATGGTTCCCTCTGCAGCAGGTTTGCTCTCGTTTGGCCGTGTGGGGGTTGAATCAGAGGTTTGTGAGATGATAATGAGGAGTTACTGGAAACCTTCTGCTTCGGGGCTGATTGATTGGTTAAGCTCTGTCGGCCGCTCTCAGTAGGAAATGTTGTTCTGGTTTCTCTGGTCAGTGTGTGTTGGACAACGGATGATCTTTTTATTCTGATCAGTAGCAGTTGTGTGCGATTTAACCAGCTTTCAGGCCTCGTGAATCTCACAAAACCCTCAGGAAATGTCAGTGTCAAATAAAGAATGAAAGTTTTTTTTTTTTTTTTTTTTTTTTTTTTTTTTTTTTTTTTTTTTTTTTTTTTTTTTTTTTTTTTACTTTTGTGGCATTTGAAGATTTTTGCCTTATGAAACGCTGTCCATTTTCCTTATGCACATTATAATAAGTGACTTTGTGTGTTGAAAATAAAGCCTACTTTAGATGCTTTTTTTTCCAGGAACCTTTGACATTTTTTTGCCTCGTCTCATTACCGTAACACACACAAAATCTCATTCTCATTAATGTCTGGGAAAAGATTTAGGTTTATTATTTACATGAAATATTTATGCGTCATAATTTTATTGTACTGTCTTTATGCTGATTAAAGTAAAGAAATCATTGTATTGCATTAACAATAATCATCAATGAGAATAATTCAATGGTAAAACATCAAGAGACAATCTGGAGTGAAAACATTATAATGTCTGACTTTAATATATATATATATATATTTATATATAATTGATATATAATATATATTTTGGAAACAAATCTTTTTGGCATTTTTGCCTCATTTTCATTACCATAATACAAAAAAAACTCATTCTCATTAAAGAGAAAGAGCAAGGCCTATTATTTAAATGAAAACTTTGCTTATTTGTTGTTAAAATAATGTCAGAAATCTTAATATTCATAAAACAGTGTTTTTATTCTTTGTGCAAATTATAAGAAGTCACTACGAAATAACAATAATAAAATATTTGCAAATATTCTCCTCAAATTCTCACGACTGCAATAAAAAAACAATAATAATAATGCAAAACACATAATTGTATTACAGTGATGAGAATCCTCAGTGACATTGACCCAACAGTGAGTTTGTCACAAATCCTAATAGTCATTTTACGCACTTTACGCAAATGATAATTTCATATTAAAACCCGACTGAAGTTCTCCTCGTGTTTCCTCTGTCACAGTAGATCTGGTTCAGACGGACCTGCTCCATATGCCTCCATGAATGACCTCTGACCCGTGAAGCCCCGCCCCTCCAGTCCCGTGTAATCACGCGCTTCCCCTGGCGTCACGATGGTTTGCCATGACAACGAGAGCGTGAAGTTCTTCTACGACATCAGCAAGAAGAATATCAGCGAAACGTGGCAGACTAAAGACTTAGTGGTGGTTTCTCTGGGCCTGCTGGTCTGTTCTTTCGTCATCTTCGCCAACATCCTGGTCATGCTGGCCATCTTCATGAACCGCAGGTTCCACTACCCCATCTACTACCTGCTGGGGAACCTGGCGGCGGCCGACCTGTTCGCCGGCGTCTCCTACATGTACCTGATGTTCCACACGGGCCCCTGGACCAGCAAGCTCTCCATCGGTCAGTGGTTTGTGCGGCAGGTGAGACGATGAAGATGATGATGATGATGGTGTGTCTGTGAATGCTCTTTAATGAGTAACTTTGGCTTTGGATTGAGAAACTTGTGTTGCAATAGAACCCACACTGAGATTCAGATTCACACATTCACATGAAGTGTTTATATACACAAACAGTCCATTAAAAACACAGGATTTAGTTTGAAAGGAATTCTTGTGCTTTAATACATTTTATTCAATTGTTAAAAATGTATTGATAAAATTATTTGGATGCATTGATGGCGGACGCATTTAATTTTGTTGAATATTCCCAGATTAAATACATTAAGTCAGTATAAAGCAAGCAAGAAAATACATTTCAATAAAAATGATAAACCTTTATTTTTCAGCACTTTATTTGACAAAAAAATTTAAAATAAGTTTTGTTGTAAAGGAGTTGTTGTATTTTAATTAATTACGTTTAAAAAGATTGATTAAATTGTTAAATTATTTAGACACATTATGGGTGGACGTGTTCATATTTATTATAATATTCATGAGTTAAATGCATTTTAAGTCCGTATGAAGCAGGACGGAAAAACAGCAAAATAAACGTTTTGTCTAACTTGAAGAAATTAAATTAGCATTTGCATTTTATTTGACAAAATAATGTTTTATTGAAATGGAATTATTATGTTTTATTTGACCACGTTTAAAAAGATGGATTAATACATTAAAATTCACAGATTAAATTATTTTTCAAGTTGAGGGAGGACGTGTTCATATTCATGGGTTAAATGCATTTTAAGTCGTTATGAAGCAGGGCAGCTGGCTGATCGACAGGATGTGCTGAACTTCCTGTTTCCTGTAAGGAGTTCTGGGAGAAGATCCGTGATGGGACTTTATCTGATCAGAACACACGAACTCAAAGCTCTTCATTACAGACCGCCAGAAATAAAAGTTTGGTTTAACTTGAGGAAATTATGACAGAGATATATTACTATTTATAATAAAATAATATAAATAAAAAATAAAACCCTATGCAACAATTTGACCAAAAATGTTAAAATAAAGCGCAAGCTTTATCAACGCACAGAATTGGTTAGATTTCAGCCGGTTCAGGTGCATTATGGGAAACAGGCATCTGTGTCTTCCTGCGTCTGTTATCATGATGAGGATCTTGAAGTGTGATTTTCACGTCAGTATCGGCGCGACCACAAATACCACAGCTTTTCTTGTTTCCAGTGTTGCTGAAGGTCAGAAGCGCTTCCTCTAGACGGGGAAGAACGCTGTGTTACTTTGTGTAAACAGGGCTGATAGTGGGAGCTTTTTGGTGGTTGTCAGTGTGTTATAGGTCAGGAAAAGGAAAACACATTTTTGTACTTCAGTAGATTGGTGTATTAATAGTATATCAGTTACATCTGTAAACGTAAAAATGTTGCTAGCATATTTATTTTTACTGTAAAGTTCTGGCAACCACAGCTGCCATTCTTGATTAATTATTAAAAAATTTAATATTAAATTTAATGTAAAAAATAACATTTCATATAATATAGTAGGATTTTAAGCAACATATACTTTCGGCCACGTCCTTCATGCAAGATTTTTGCTCTAGACGGTCAAGAACATAGTATATTGTGTGAAGTATGTGATTTGGGACAGTCGGATATTTGCATAATTTGCTAATTAATTGCATAATTTTTATAATTTGTTTTTAACCTCTAATTTAAGACTTTTAAGACCTGCACAAATAAAATTAATATCTAATGAGCGGGGTAGGGTAGTGTTTATGGTAACAAATTGCACTGTAAAAAAGCATGATTTACAGTTCAGATACAGGTTTTCACAAAGCAAAAACTTTTATAATGATAAACTTCACATTTCAGCCTTTAAACCATTTTTAAGAAAACGGATGAGTCAAAAGCATCAATTATTATATTAATTTAAAGGGGTCATGAACTGAGAAGTAAAAAAACCCTGATCTTTTGACATAAGAGGACACTGAACTATAAAAACATACTGTAAATTTCAGAACTCAAAACTTTCTTGTTAGTCTAAAAACTGCTTATATTACAGCTTATATAGGTTGTGGAATGTGCCACTTTTATCGTGTGGCTAAACTCCGCCTCTACAGAAGATGATCAACGCCTGCTTCTACATCGCTGCCTGTTTAGCCCCGCCCACAGATTCTACAGCACTGCCTGTTTAGCCACGTCCACGGATTCGTGCGTGTAGTAGATCAGGGGTGTCAAACTCAATTTCTGGAGGGCCGGAGCCCTGCAGAGTTTAGATCCAACCCTAATTAAATACCTGATCCAGCCCTGCTGTAAATGCTGTTTTTCTGTCTCTCAGGGTTTGATCGACACCAGTCTGACGGCATCGGTCATTAATCTGATGGCCATCGCGCTGGAGCGCCACCAGACCATTTTCACCATGCAGCTGCACAGCAAAATGACCAACCACCGGGTGGTGCTGCTGATCATCGGCATCTGGCTCATCGCCATAGTGCTGGGTTTGGTGCCCTCTATGGGATGGAGCTGCGTGTGCAACACCATGGAGTGCTCAAACATGGCACCGCTCTACAGCCGCAGCTACCTGGTGTTCTGGGCCGTGCTCAACCTGCTGACCTTCACCATCATGGTGGCTGTCTACACGCGCATCTTCATCTACGTGCACCGCAAGAGCCACCGCATGAGCCAGCACACCTCGCAGATCAAGCACAAGGAGACGGTGGTCAACCTGATGAAGACCGTCGTCATGATCCTGGGTAGGACCGATCGATCGCACATCATTTCTGACTTGCGTGTGTCTTAACCAGATGAGGCGTGGCTCAAAATCAGCCAATAAGAACTTTTAGCTTTTACTGGTTTCCTAGCATGTCGTAAATAATGACCATCATTACGAGTTTCTGATTTAGTAGTTAAAACTGCTCCGAGTCGTTCACACTAGTAACAATAACTATAACCATAAAGTTTTAATAATCACTCTAAGAGAATTGCAGAATCCATAGAGCAGCTGGTATGAATGCTGATATAGATATCGTTATAATTATTATTTTAGTTATTTTTATTTTTACCACATAGTTATTTCCATTATAGTTATTGTTATAGCTACCATTATTGTTTTCGTTATAGTTCTCGTAAAAAAAGTTTTTGTTATAGTTATGATTCTCTTTACAGTTACAGTTTGTTATCAATATTGTTCTCATTATAGTTATAGTTACTATTGTAGTTATTGTCATATGTGTCGTTATAATTATAGCTATTGTTATAGTTGTAGTTATTATTATCGTTGTAGTTCTCATTATAGTTGTTATCATTATAGTTCTTGCTATATTTATCTTAGGTAACGCTATAGTTATTGCTATAGTTATCGTTAAAGTTATAATTATAGATATAGTTATGCAATTGTTATAGGCAGGGTCATTGTTGTTATTATTATAGTTATTGTCATAGTTATCTTTAGTTTTAATTCTTGTTACAGTTATTACTATAATATTGTTATAGTTATCGTTATAGCTATCATCAGACAACATTATATTTACTATTTTTAGTTATCACTATTGTTAGTCATGGCTGTAGCTATCATTAGTTGTGATTCTAGTTACAGTTATTGCTATAGTCGTCGTTACAGTTATCGTTACAGTTATGCTATAGTTAACACTAAAGATATTGTTAGTTATTGCTATAGTTATTTTTACAGTTATCGCTATAGGTAGTGCTGCAATTATCGCTATAATTATCGTTATAATTATAGTTAATGTTATTGTTACAGATGTTATTTTTTATTATTTAGTTATTGTTACAATTCTCAATATAGTTATTGCTATAGTTATCATTACAGTTATGCTATAGTTATTGTTACATTTATCGCTATAGTTATCGCTATAGATAGTTAATAGTTACTGCTACAGTAATCGCTATAGATATAATTATCGCTATAGTTATCGTTACAGTTATGCTATAGTTAACGCTATAGATATTGTTAGTTATTACTATAGTTATCGTTAGTTATGCTATAGTTAACGCTATAGATATTGTTAGTTATCACTATAGTTATCGTTACAGTTATGCTATAGTTAACGCTATAGATATTGTTAGTTATCGCTATAGTTATCGTTAGTTATGCTATAGTTAACGCTATAGATATTGTTAGTTATCGCTACAGTTATCGTTACAGTTATGCTATAGTTAACGCTATAGATATTGTTAGTTATCGCTATAGTTATCGTTACAGTTATGCTATAGTTAACGCTATAGATATTTTTAGTTATCGCTATAGTTATCGTTAGTTATGCTATAGTTAACGCTATAGATATTGTTAGTTATCGCTACAGTTATCGTTACAGTTATGCTATAGTTAACGCTATAGATATTGTTAGTTATCGCTATAGTTATCGTTACAGTTATGCTATAGTTAACGCTATAGATATTTTTAGTTATCGCTCTAGTTATCGTTACAGTTATGCTATAGTTAACGCTATAGATATTGTTAGTTATCGCTACAGTTATCGTTACAGTTATGCTTAAGTTATTGTTACATTTATCACTATAGATAGTTATTGCTGTAGTTATCGTTACAGTTATGCTATAGTTTATAATGATATAGTTTAGTATTATAGTAATATTATAGTTAGTTATTGTTACAGATATTATTTTTTGTTATTGTTACAATTCTCTATATAGTTATCGTTGTAATTATAGTTGTTACACTTATCACTAGAGTTCTCGTGACAGTCATATTTATCGTGGTCGTCATAGTTAATATTATCATTCTTGGTGAATGATTGAAGTTGAAAACACTGCTTAACCATTTAGTGTCGTCACATTTAGTTCAGACGGCTACATCCCAGCTCTGATAATCTAGTTAGTTGGTCCGGGTGTTGTATCGTCTCAGGACTTGATGTTACACTGATAAAGGTACGAACAGTCCCGCAGTGATCCAGAGCAGTGGTCTGAATGTTTGGAGAATAACATGCAGCAGCTGTGCGCTGAAACACACAAACATGCGTAGGAGGAAGCCTGTCCGGACTCGTCTGACCGGACCTGCGTGTTTGCGCTATCTCTGCTTTGCTCTGTAGAGACAGAGGCGAGTGCATATTCTGACAGAGCCCCACACGTCACGCCTGCTCACACTCACACACGCACGCACACACACAGGAATGCCAACACACTTACTCTGACAACATTCCTGGAAACTCTTGCTACGTGAAGTCTTGGAAATATCCCATAAACACACACACACACACAAGACACTTCCTGAACATGCATCTGAGACCGCTAGTGTCTAACTATCAGCAGAGCAATACTGACTTTAATCAACAACAGTTTATTTATGGCAGAACGGCCCGACCACATTAAGATTTCTAGTGATAGCGTGGAACAGACAGAAGTAAAGTTTGTCCTTCAGCTTAATGACACGCCTATATTCAGAGTCACATGATCAATGTCACTCATTTACTTACATTTGCATCTCCAAGAAATGAAAAGTGAGCAGCACCAAACTGAACTGCAGAAATACTGGGTCTCATTCACGTTATTTGCATTTAAGTGAACTTAGCAAAAAATTCCACCTAATTCCTTTACATTTATGCCTTTTGCAGATGCAAAGCGTCTTACAAAAGAGGAACAAAAGCCATTTGTCAAGTGGAAATTCACAGCCAATCAGAGCTCTTGATTTTTATTCTGCTGTCGTAATTAATGACCATCGTTACAAGTTCCTGACAAACTGCTCAAAGACTCGTTTTCACGCCAATAACTATAACCATGAAGTTTTAATACTCGTTCTAGAAGAATACTTTTTTTTTTTTTACTGTGATTATTGTTATCATTGTAGTTATAGTTATCGCTATAGTTATCATCATAGTTATTGTTATAATTTTAGAGAATTCGGCGTAATTCACGTGCAAGAGTTTGTTCCAATGTTAAAGGGTTAGTTCACCCAAAAATTAAAATTAGCCCATGATTTACTCACCCTCAAGGCATCCTAGGTGTATATGACTTTCTTCTTTCAGACGAATCCAGTCGGAGCTTGTCGCTCTCTGGTTTGTTCTCGAGTCCTGAACGTTTGTTCATGTGTCGATGGAGCGTGTGCTTCTGCTGATGTTCTGGTGCTGTGTCCCGCAGGTTGTTTCGTGGTGTGTTGGACGCCGGGGCTGGTTCTGCTTCTCCTGGACGGTTCGTGTGAGTCCTGCGACGTCCTGACCTACGAGAAGTTCTTCCTGGTGCTGGCCGAGTGCAACTCCTTCATGAACCCCATCATCTACTCCTACCGCGACAAGGACATGCGCGACACCTTCAAGCGCATCCTCTGCTTCCCGTGTGTGGGGTCGCAGCAGGAGGGCGAGCACTCGGGCGCGCACTTCAACACCCTCGAGCAAGAGGTACTCTCAGAGAGCGACGGGACCCAGCGTCAGACCGCACCCGCTTTAGCAGAACTCAAATCACAGCCTAGATATTAAACCTGTGGCCAAGTGTTCGTCTGTGGGATTCTGTAGCGAAGGGGCATTTAGCGCTCGCCATTCGTACAAACTCAACCACTAAAACTATCGTCGATGGAAGCCTTTGTCTGCCAGAAAAGGTTTATCTCACAATTCTGACTTTTTTCCCGTGCAGTTCTGAGAGATGCAAACTTGGAATTGCTGGATATAAACAATTAGCTTTTTATTTTTTATTCTGTGGCAGAAACAAAGCAGAATTGCAAGATGTAAACTCTGGATTCTGAGGAAAACCTGTGAGAACTCAGATTTCAGAGAGAAAAAGGCAGAATTGCGAGATAAAAAGTCACAGTTACCTTTTATATACACTACCAGTCAAAGGTTTGGGATCAGAACGATTTTTAATGTTTTGTCAGGAGGTTCTTCTGCTCATCAAGGCTGCATTTATTTCATCAAAAATACAGGAAAAAATTTAATATTGTGAAATATTATGATGATGTAAAATAATGTTTTTCTATGTGAGTATCTGTTAAACTGTAATGTATTTCTGTGATGTGCAGCTGTATTTTCAGCATCATTCCTCCAGTCTTCAGTGTCACATGATCTTCAGAAATCAGTATAATATGCTGATTTATTATCAGAGCTGGAAACTGTTGCTGCTTCATATTTTCTTGGAAGCTGTGATACTTTTTTCAGGATTCTTTGATGAATAAAAAGTTAAAGTGGGATTCTGTAGCGAAGGGGCATTTAGCGCTCGCCATTCGTACAAACTCAACCACTAAAACTATCGTCGATGGAAGCCTTTGTCTGCCAGAAAAGGTTTATCTCACAATTCTGACTTTTTTCCCGTGCAGTTCTGAGAGATGCAAACTTGGAATTGCTGGATATAAACAATTAGCTTTTTATTTTTTATTCTGTGGCAGAAACAAAGCAGAATTGCAAGATGTAAACTCTGGATTCTGAGGAAAACCTGTGAGAACTCAGATTTCAGAGAGAAAAAGGCAGAATTGCGAGATAAAAAGTCACAGTTACCTTTTATATACACTACCAGTCAAAGGTTTGGGATCAGAACGATTTTTAATGTTTTGTCAGGAGGTTCTTCTGCTCATCAAGGCTGCATTTATTTCATCAAAAATACAGGAAAAAATTTAATATTGTGAAATATTATGATGATGTAAAATAATGTTTTTCTATGTGAGTATCTGTTAAACTGTAATGTATTTCTGTGATGTGCAGCTGTATTTTCAGCATCATTCCTCCAGTCTTCAGTGTCACATGATCTTCAGAAATCAGTATAATATGCTGATTTATTATCAGAGCTGGAAACTGTTGCTGCTTCATATTTTCTTGGAAGCTGTGATACTTTTTTCAGGATTCTTTGATGAATAAAAAGTTAAAAAGAACAGCATTTATTTAAAATAGAAATCTTTTCTAACAATATACTCTACCGTTCAAAAGTTTGGGGTCGGTACTTTTTTTGAAAGAAATTAAAACTTATATTCAGCAAGGATGTGTTAAATTAAGAAGTGATAGCAAAGATTTATATTGTTAGAAGAGATTTATATTTTCAATAAGTGCTGTTCTTTTTAACTTTTTATTCATCAAAGACTCCTGGAAAAAAAGTATCAGTTTCCAAAAAAAAATATTGTGCAGCACAACATTCATAATCCTGATAATAAATCAGCATATTAGAATGATTTCTGAAGATCATGTCACACTTTTATATTGGAGTAATGATGATGATGGAGATACAGCTGCGCATCACTGAAATAAATTATATTTCAAAGGATATTAAAATAGAAACTATTAGTTTTATATTGTAATAACATTTTGCAAGATTACTGTTTTTTTTCTGTATTTTTGATCAAATAAATGCAGCCTTGATGAGCAGAAGAGACTTCTTTAAAAACATTACAAGTCTTACTGATCCCAAACGTTTGACCGGTAGTGTGTGTGTGTATATATGTATATGTATTATTCCATGGTGGAAACAAGTTTCCATTTACTGCAAACAGACAAGCTAGCGAACACAAACTAGTCTGCATGGCTTGAAGTGCACTCGTTCTCTGACTTGGCTTGGCTGTGCAGACAGAAGTATATATTATAACTAAGCAAAGCTCGCGTGCCTGCGGAGTTAAAAGCACAGCAGATGCATGCTCTCACGCGGTCACAGCGCAGTCGTGTCCGTCCCAGAGGGTTAGAGACATGTACCCAGTGCTCATGTTAAAGCAGCTACTTGTTCGTGTGTGTTGATGTGTGTCTAATTGCTCTTCTCTTGTCTGTTGCGCAGCGGAGACGGCGCGTGCTGCAGGAGTCATGGGTTGTATGTAGATTCGCTTGCATTTAAATCCTCAGACTCTATAATCACTCCGTCTTTAAAGGGGTCATATGATGTTGCTAAAAAGAACATTATTTTGTGTATTTGGTGTAATGAAATGTGTTTATGCGGTTTAAGGTAAAAAAAAAACATTATTTTCCACATACTGTACATTATTGTTTCTCCTCTATGCCCCGCCTTTCTGAAACGCGTAGATTTTAAGCTCTTCGGTCTGAAAGCGAGGTGTGCTGTGATTGGTCAGCTATCCAGTGCGTTGAACTTATTGGGCGGCGTTATGCAAATCTTCCCACATAGTGATGTAGACATGTGGGGGCGTGTTAGAACGAGGCGTTTTAGGTAGGCGTGGCTGACTCTTAACTTTTATAAAGAATATCTCTTTGGATTTGAGACTTTAGTCTTTGCAACTTTACAGATCTTCTTTATGCACCAAGAGCTTGTAACACTCCAAAGAGAAAGGAAACATTGAAATCGCATCATATGACCCCTTTAACATCTCAACCTGATTCTCGAGAGGCGCTGGTGTGGTTTTACACGCGTCGGATGTCCTGCACGGGCGATGGTGGGACTGAGGGATGGTTTTCTTTTGTTTGTTCTCGGTTCCTGTGTGTGTGTGTGTGTGTGTGTGTGTGTGAGACGCACATGCTTGTGAATGCTCATCTAACGGCTTTGTAGTGTTTGACAGATGTGCAGCGTTCACTGCTGTTTGTGTACGAACCATGTAAATATTTAAAGCATGGCACGCAAGCATCCGCTCTCACACGCACACTCTCACACGCACACTCTCACGCACACGCGCACACACACACACACACGCACTCACACTCGCACTCACACTCACACACACACACACACGCTCTCTTTCTCTCTCACACACACACACACACTCTCTCTCTCTCACAGACACACACACACACTCTCTCTCTCTCTCTCTCTCTCTCTCTCTCTCTCTCTCTCTCTCTCTCTCTCTCTCTCTCTCTCTCTCTCTCTCTCTCTCTCTCTCTCTCTCTCTCTCTCTCTCTCTCTCTCTCTCTCTCTCTCTCTCTCTCTCTCTCTCTCTCTCTCTCTCTCTCTCTCTCTCTCTCTCTCTCTCTCTCTCTCTCTCTCTCTCTCTCTCTCTCTCTCTCTCTCTCTCTCTCTCTCTCTCTCTCTCTCTCTCTCTCTCTCTCTCTCTCTCTCTCTCTCTCTCTCTCTCTCTCTCTCTCTCTCTCTCTCTCTCTCTCTCTCTCTCTCTCTCTCTCTCTCTCTCTCTCTCTCTCTCTCTCTCTCTCTCTCTCTCTCTCTCTCTCTCTCTCTCTCTCTCTCTCTCTCTCTCTCTCTCTCTCTCTCTCTCTCTCTCTCTCTCTCTCTCTCTCTCTCTCTCTCTCTCTCTCTCTCTCTCTCTCTCTCTCTCTCTCTCTCTCTCTCTCTCTCTCTCTCTCTCTCTCTCTCTCTCTCTCTCTCTCTCTCTCTCTCTCTCTCTCTCTCTCTCTCTCTCTCTCTCTCTCTCTCTCTCTCTCTCTCTCTCTCTCTCTCTCTCTCTCTCTCTCTCTCTCTCTCTCTCTCTCTCTCTCTCTCTCTCTCTCTCTCTCTCTCTCTCTCTCTCTCTCTCTCTCTCTCTCTCTCTCTCTCTCTCTCTCTCTCTCTCTCTCTCTCTCTCTCTCTCTCTCTCTCTCTCTCTCTCTCTCTCTCTCTCTCTCTCTCTCTCTCTCTCTCTCTCTCTCTCTCTCTCTCTCTCTCTCTCTCTCTCTCTCTCTCTCTCTCTCTCTCTCTCTCTCTCTCTCTCTCTCTCTCTCTCTCTCTCTCTCTCTCTCTCTCTCTCTCTCTCTCTCTCTCTCTCTCTCTCTCTCTCTCTCTCTCTCTCTCTCTCTCTCTCTCTCTCTCTCTCTCTCTCTCTCTCTCTCTCTCTCTCTCTCTCTCTCTCTCTCTCTCTCTCTCTCTCTCTCTCTCTCTCTCTCTCTCTCTCTCTCTCTCTCTCACACACACACACACACACACACTCTCTCTCTCTTTCTCTCTCACTCACACGCACACTCACACACACTCTCTCTCACACACACACACACACTCTCTCTCTCTCTTTCTCTCTCACTCACTCACACACACACACAGCTGGTGTCGGTTGAGGACCTCCAGTGGTGCTCTCCTGCAACTGTACTAACCAACCAGCATGCTGCTCTATTCACGCGGCTCCCTGCATTAACATTTAAGATGTCCCTGGGTCTTTTTTTTTTTAAAGCTTTTATCTGTTCTTTTTTAAGAGTTTAATTCCTGTGATTCGTACTGAAGTCTCTCATCTGAGATTCAAGGCGTGAAGTTCATCATCTCATGATTTCAGCGTCGTATTGAGGAGCTTGTTTTGCATCGCCGTGTGAAACAGTACGAGCTGGAGTTTCAGATGATGAGGATGATTCTGTGATTGAATCATCTGTTTGTAATCTCCTCCTGTGGCCAGTGAGATGCACACACGGATATTTGGTTCTGATTGATGGTTTATAGATGCGCTAATAATGCTCAAAGTGTCCGTGTGTCGTCACTGACTCCATCTACTGATCATTCAACACTGATACCGTCTCATTATGTTGTAAAAATGATTTGACGCTTTTAATGGTTGAGTAATGAACATGCTTGATGCTGTCCGTCTGCTGTGTGTGTTTGGGACGGGGAATCGTCTCTGAACTGGCCGCTCTCCGTCCCAAAGCTCTCAGAGACGCATGCTCTGGTGGATCTCAGGTGTAACTAGTTGACGGTTGTTTGCAGCCCAGTGTTTTCTCGGCTCTGTGTGTCAGGCTCGTAGGGCTCGTGATGGAGACGGCGCGCCGGCTAACGGAGGACGGCTCGTGCTGAAGGAGGCGGAGAACATGCTGGACTCCACTGAGAGCTGAGGGCCCCGCAGCAGCGCTCTGATTGGCCGAGTCAGCTGTCAGTCACTCTGTGTGTTTAGACCAGCGTCGGATGAAGAGACCCTGCGCTTGAGCTCGAACTGTGAACCAGTTAGTTGTAAATATGGTTTTTATTTAAAGTCTTGCGTGTTTTTGTGTTGTACTTGAAAACGCACGACTGGCATCTGATCAAACAGACATTAGTTGTGTTTTTAGCAGCACTGCAGTCGTCTGAACCAGCACGGATGACTTTTCAGAGAAAGCCAATATGCAAACACCTTCTTTTATTTAAACATTTTAGAATTAAAATGAAATAAATCAATGTTGTGTAGTTGAATAAACCTTGCTTCAAGTTTTTCCAAGTAAATTGTTGTTTTTCTTCGTTACACTTGGTGTTCGTGATTGCTGCGGCTTCATTGCTTCTGCTGTTTGCTGTAATGTTATATTAACAAAAGACCATGAGATACCAAGTCATTATTCTGATACAAATTCATAATTGAGAGACAAAGTCATCACTGACATAAGTTTAAATAGACGAGCATAATTATGACAGCCATTGTTGTAGACAATCATTTTAAATATGAGATTAAAAGCATACTTCTCACATAATTGTGACTTAATGACGATTAAAGTTATATAAATATGATTTGTCACCTTTATTTCCGAATTATGAATTGGTATTCCATTTCCAACTTTGTCATAATTATTACTTGTGACATAAGTCTAAATAAAATAATTATGGCTTTTGTTTAGCATAATTATAACTTAGCATCTCATTGACTTTGTCATAGTTCTGATTTACCAAAGCATTGTTTCTCTTATGTGGTGTAAATGAACTACTTCAAAGCGTCGTATGACTTTAGCAGACTTATTGCAGTGGTCATATTTACGTTTTAAGTTTGACAGCCATCGCTGTACTTGTGTGGAAAGTGTTTTCGCTTCACAGAGGCAGGGCAGTGTGTGGCTGGACATGAAGAGTAAAGGATGACAGAAAGAGTCTAATATAATACCCTGGACTGTGTGAGTGTCAGGATGAAGACATCGGTGTTTTCATGCTCCGTTATTAATGCAGTGTGTCTAATAGAGTAATGTACAGCAGTAAACAAAGTGAAACAATCATCTCAGTTTGAGGCATTGTTTCCAGCTCCTGGAGAATCTCCTGTGCAGCGCTGACCGCTGCCTCCTGTCGCCTAGCAACAGCCTCTCTGGAGACAGTGATGCGCTTCTGCGGTCACCTAGCAACAGCCTCTCTGGAGACAGTGATGCTTCTGCGGTCGCCTAGCAACAGCGTCAGGATGGATCTCTTCCTCTCCTGCAGTGAGTCCGGCCCAGGACGCGACGGATGTGATGTCACCGGATCCGAACAGAGTCCTGGAGGAAGACCCGCCCATTCCAGCCTGACAGAGCGAGGAGACACACAAACACAGCCACGTTTGAGGAACAGCACTCTTCCACAGCCCTGCTTTACTCAGTGACACAAGCCGCGTTTCTTTACCGTGAGTGAGTGAGTGAGTGAGTGAGTGAGTGAGTGAGTGTGTGTGTGAGAGAGAGAGAGAGAGAGAGAGAGAGAGAGAGAGAGAGAGAGAGAGAGAGAGAGAGAGAGAGAGAGAGAGAGAGAGAGAGAGAGAGAGAGAGAGAGAGAGAGAGAGAGAGAGAGAGAGAGAGAGAGAGAGAGAGAGAGAGAGAGAGAGAGAGAGAGAGAGAGAGAGAGAGAGAGAGAGAGAGAGAGAGAGAGAGAGAGAGAGAGAGAGAGAGAGAGAGAGAGAGAGAGAGAGAGAGAGAGAGAGAGAGAGAGAGAGAGAGAGAGAGAGAGAGAGAGAGAGAGAGAGAGAGAGAGAGAGAGAGAGAGAGAGAGAGAGAGAGAGAGAGAGAGAGAGAGAGAGAGAGAGAGAGAGAGAGAGAGAGAGAGAGAGAGAGAGAGAGAGAGAGAGAGAGAGAGAGAGAGAGAGAGAGAGAGAGAGAGAGAGAGAGAGAGAGAGAGAGAGAGAGAGAGAGAGAGAGAGAGAGAGAGAGAGAGAGAGAGAGAGAGAGAGAGAGAGAGAGAGAGAGAGAGAGAGAGAGAGAGAGAGAGAGAGAGAGAGAGAGAGAGAGAGAGAGAGAGAGAGAGAGAGAGAGAGAGAGAGAGAGAGAGAGAGAGAGAGAGAGAGAGAGAGAGAGAGAGAGAGAGAGAGAGAGAGAGAGAGAGAGAGAGAGAGAGAGAGAGAGAGAGAGAGAGAGAGAGAGAGAGAGAGAGAGAGAGAGAGAGAGAGAGAGAGAGAGAGAGAGAGAGAGAGAGAGAGAGAGAGAGAGAGAGAGAGAGAGAGAGAGAGAGAGAGAGAGAGAGAGAGAGAGAGAGAGAGAGAGAGAGAGAGAGAGAGAGAGAGAGAGAGAGAGAGAGAGAGAGAGAGAGAGAGAGAGAGAGAGAGAGAGAGAGAGAGAGAGAGAGAGAGAGAGAGAGAGAGAGAGAGAGAGAGAGAGAGAGAGAGAGAGAGAGAGAGAGAGAGAGAGAGAGAGAGAGAGAGAGAGAGAGAGAGAGAGAGAGAGAGAGAGAGAGAGAGAGAGAGAGAGAGAGAGAGAGAGAGAGAGAGAGAGAGAGAGAGAGAGAGAGAGAGAGAGAGAGAGAGAGAGAGAGAGAGAGAGAGAGAGAGAGAGAGAGAGAGAGAGAGAGAGAGAGAGAGAGAGAGAGAGAGAGAGAGAGAGAGAGAGAGAGAGAGAGAGAGAGAGAGAGAGAGAGAGAGAGAGAGAGAGAGAGAGAGAGAGAGAGAGAGAGAGAGAGAGAGAGAGAGAGAGAGAGAGAGAGAGAGAGAGAGAGAGAGAGAGAGAGAGAGAGAGAGAGAGAGAGAGAGAGAGAGAGAGAGAGAGAGAGAGAGAGAGAGAGAGAGAGAGAGAGAGAGAGAGAGAGAGAGAGAGAGAGAGAGAGAGAGAGAGAGAGAGAGAGAGAGAGAGAGAGAGAGAGAGAGAGAGAGAGAGAGAGAGAGAGAGAGAGAGAGAGAGAGAGAGAGAGAGAGAGAGAGAGAGAGAGAGAGAGAGAGAGAGAGAGAGAGAGAGAGAGAGAGAGAGAGAGAGAGAGAGAGAGAGAGAGAGAGAGAGAGAGAGAGAGAGAGAGAGAGAGAGAGAGAGAGAGAGAGAGAGAGAGAGAGAGAGAGAGAGAGAGAGAGAGAGAGAGAGAGAGAGAGAGAGAGAGAGAGAGAGAGAGAGAGAGAGAGAGAGAGAGAGAGAGAGAGAGAGAGAGAGAGAGAGAGAGAGAGAGAGAGAGAGAGAGAGAGAGAGAGAGAGAGAGAGAGAGAGAGAGAGAGAGAGAGAGAGAGAGTGTGTGTGTGTGTGTGTGTGTGAGAGAGAGAGAGTGAGTGTGACGCGTCCTGTGCCGTCTGTCAGATCCCAGAGGAAATGAGGAGTAACTCTTGAACAGCTGCTGTCGTGCGCTCTGAACCGGTTATTCTGCATTCACGCGTCACATGATGTTCAGTGACTCAGCGCGCCTCGGAGCGTCTGACATGATGCACAGATGCTTCCTCAAGTCTACACACAGCTAGTACACACGCACGCCATAGATATAACAATGATAGAGTCGTGGCAACATGTTTTTTCCAAATTCATTTAAACAATTTCACAAACTTTATTTTATCTTAATTTTTGCATGTTTTAACCTATGGGTTTAACTTGATTCTTTCTGAAGTCAGTGTAATATTTAAGTTGAAATGACTTGTACAGCCAGTTTAAGGCAGAACTTCTGGTTTTAAGTTAAAATAAGTGGACATTTACAGAGCATGCAGTCTAAAGATCCATTCACTGTGAGAGAAAAGCATCTCTTTATAGAGAATGTGTTGTTTGCTAAATTAAATGGTCATTTTATTGAATCCAAAGGAAATGACAAATATCTGGAAATAAGTTAGCTTGTTAGTTTTTCTGTTATTACTGTTAGATCTATAAACTTTACTTTTTTAAAAATTCATAATTTTATTTTGTGTTACTCAAAGTTCGTATAGTTACCAAGCCATGCTGCCATAAAATCCGCACAGAAAGATCTAACACCCTGAAACATGTATAATAAAGTCATATTGTATTCTTTTTTTAACTGTCATAAACAATGACTGAATAAAAGAATCTAACACGATGAGCGGGGTCTGGACTCCCTCTGCTGGAGCAACGCGTGTCAACACTGAGTTCAGCTCAGCAGCTCCAGAGTTCACAGTCAGTGTGACGGACATCCTGACACGTGATTGGACGCCCGCGGTGTGATTGACAGCTCGAGCAGGACACCTGAGGTGTGTGGAGGTCGGTCAGGAGTCTCCGTTTCATGTTCTCTCCAGTCCGGCCGCCCGCTGGACCGGTACGACCGCCCCGAGCCAAGACCCGCGCCAGCGTGAGCTGCCTGCTGAGCCGCATCCGCGGACCTGTGTCCGCAGCATCAGCACCACCATCCAGCATCAGCGCGCGCTCGATGACGCAGCTGGTTTAACAGAGAGAGTGTGTGAGAGAGAGTGTGTGTGTGTGTGTGTGTGTGTGTGTGTGTGAGAGAGAGAGAGTGTGTGTGTGTGAGAGAGAGAGAGTGTGTGTGTGTGTGTGAGAGAGAAAGAGAGAGTGTGTGTGTGTGTGTGAGAGAGGTTGTGTGTGTGTGTGTTTGGGCTACTAACATTACTAGAGCTGAATTTTTCTTCGGTTGTGTTGTTAAAGAAATGCATTTTGTCTTCTGCTCAAATATATATGTGACCCTGGAGCACAAAACCAGTCATAAGGGTAAATCTTATGAATGCTGAATCAATAAGCCTTCCATTGATGTATGGTTTGTTAGGATAGGACAATATTTGGCTGAGATACAACTATTTGAAAATCTGGAATCTGAGGGTGCAAAAAAATCTAAATATTGAGAAAATCATCTTTAAAGTTGTTCAAATGAAGTTCTTAGCAATGCATATTACTAATCAAACATTAAGTTTTGATATATTTACGGTAGGAGATTTACTAAATATCTTCATGGAACATGATCTTTACTTAATATCCTAATGATTTTTGGCATAAAAGAGAAATGTATAATTGTGACCCATACAATGTATTGTTGGCTATTGCTACAAATATCCCCCAGCGACTCAACACTGCTTTTGTGCTGCAGGATCATGTGTATATATATATATATATATTTATAGAAGTCTCTTCTGCTCACTAAGGCTGCATTTATTTGATCAAAAGATACAGTAAAAATAGTGAAATATTATCATAATTTAAAACAGCTGTTGGTTACACTTTACTTGAAGGGGTGTGCATAAGACTGACATGACACCTTCATAATCATGACATGACACATACATAATCATGACGTGACACATGTCATGAATATGAAAGAGGTTTTATGCATGTTTATGACAACTGTTATTAAGTGTCATTCGCTCAGTTATGTAATTTTTAATGCAAAGATGACATTATACACCCCATACACCTCATACACCCCACCCCCTCTGTCAAAAGCCACACCCCCAGGAACGCCCCTGCAGTGAGGAGCATTCACCAGGGCAGAGTATGAAAGGCGTCAGCAGCTGAAGATAATGGCTGATCTAGAGAAAGTCCTCAAACAGAAACCAGGAAAGCATAGTGGCAAAAAACAACATGCACGCAAACCGCACAACAACCATGAGTTAAATCACACACGCTCACAGGGGAAAAACAACAGGTAATCACACATTACTTGTACTTAAATGTGAACTGGGTAACTACTAGCGTCACTAAACAGAATTGCTATCTGTCTGTATGAGTGAAACAGCAACACTTGCTCAACCAATGGAATGAGTTTGTCGCCCTGTTTGTTGAATAGTGTTTGAAGCTGTTTTGTATTTTGCCCTAAAACCAGTTTTGTTCACTCACACAGTGGTCTCTAGCCAGAAAGATGGCGCATCTCTACCAACTGAAAAGCCAGCAAGGTACTCTACCCAGCAGCTTAGCCACGTTTCTGTCTTCTGCCTTTCATACATCTTTGTCTTTACTTAAAAGCTTCCTCTCTCACTCTACAACTCAGTCGTTCAGAGTCGCCCTCAAAGGTGATGTCATCAGGGCAACTGGCCAATCAGAATGGGGAAAAAGACTGGGAACATGTCTCCAACGCCTCTTCTCCAGCCTCACTCTCAGAATACACAGGTAAAGAGCTGATTGTTGATATTTAAGATCAATTTCTATGTTTGAAAAGAGTTAGGGTTAGTTTGAAATATTAAAGCTACTTTTGTCATTCTGTATATCGTTGCTAATTTGCTCTGAGTGGTTGCTAGGATGTTTTGTGCGGTGCTAGACTGTTGCTAAGGTGGTCTTGAATGGTTTTGAATGATTGCTAGGCACCTCCTATGATGTTCTGGGTGATTTCTGAGATGTACCTGTAGGGTTAATAAGGTTTTCTCAGTGGTTGCTAGGGCACTGCTTAGCAGTTGCTAAGGTGGTCTTTTGTTTGCAGGAACATTGCTAAGTGGTTGTTAGGCTGTTGAGAATGATTGCTAGTTGGCTTATAGGATGTTATGGGTGGTTACTGGAATGTAGTTGAGGTCTTCTGCTAGCAGGTGTCCTGAGCAATTTCTAGAATCTTCAGGGTGGTTGCTAGAGTGTGACTGAAGGTTTTCTGAGTGGTTGGTAATCGTAATAACACCTTTTAGAGTTTTAACTGCACTATGTAGAACAGGCGAGTATGAATTCAAATCAAGTGGTTTGACCTGATTTGAAAACATGAAGAAATAGGACCACCTGTTGGCTGTAGCCAGTACCTCATTTGATCTGTGTGGTTTTCCAGTTGCCTGTTTACTCACAATTTTATCTTCTGTTTCAGGTCCTACATTATTTAAGGAACCCAGTTTTAAATCCAACAAGTTCATCATTTACAACGCGCTCTCACGCTGCTGCCTTGCTGGCAAAGTCAATGAATCCCAGAAAAACAAGATCATAGATGTGCGTCACTGTTTATCTTTCTACACAGACATTACTCCCTTTGTGCACATTCTGACATTCACATTCTCCCCGTCTGTCTAGGAGATGGAGAAGAGCTCCGCCAGTCACTTCCTGATTCTCCTGCGTGACTCCAACTGTCAGTTCCGTGCTATCTGCACCCGAGACGGCCAATCGGAGGAGCTGCATCGACTCTGTGGCGTCGGCCCGCGTGCCATTTCCTCGTCAGCCGTGGAGGCCATTTATAAATACAGCTCAGACAGGAAACAGTTCAATACACTTCCATCTCGTACCTTGAGCATGAGCGCCGACGCTTTCACTATCCCCGCCCATCTCTGGCACACTAAGAAACATGGTACGCCTAAAAAAGTAGCCACACCCAAATAGACTCCGCCTACTCAAAATAAACCACTCCTGCTGCGATAAACTGCACCCACCTAAATAAGCCACTCCTACTGGAATAAACTGGAGTGGACTCCGCCCACTCAAAGAAACCATTCCTACTAAGATAAGCCCCTCCTACCCACACAAGTAACCCCACCCACTCAAAAGAACCACACCTTCCAAGGTAATAAGCTCCTCTGGATAAGCTCCTCCAACCAATAATAAACCCTCAAATAAATCCACTATATGTGCTAGTCCTCTAAATAAAAATCTTACCAGCACACACCATAAACTCTCTATAATGAAGCAAATCAAGTTTACGGTTTATGATCAAGCAGAAGGATCTTCTCATGTTTTCTGATTCTGCATGAAGACAGACGAGCCCTGAAGTTTTCACGCTACTAAAGACTGAGGAAACCACACGTCCTGGTTGCATGTGAATGTTTGGTTCAGTCTAAATATCTCTCAATGGTCACACCAACTGAGCACTTGAAGTGTTTCTCTGATTCTTATGATCTATATTCCCTACCGTAATAAATACAAACTTTTGAATCTCAGTCTACCAGTGCTGTAGTTTTGGTGAGAATCACTGCTGGGTTTCACTATCTAGTCTCCGTCTGGCTAGATGATTTTAGGAGATCTCCTGCTGTGAACACTTACTCTCTTTTATATTTCATCAGCCTTTCCGTTCTTCAAGAATCTGTGTGGAGTAAATGATTCTCGCTTTCCTCCTGATGGATCTCCAGCTGTCCAAAGACTGTGAGGCATCATGTGTTCATGTGTGTGAGCAGATGTCTGGACGCTGTTGAACAGAGTTTGTCAGCTAAATATGGATCAGTGAGTCACGATCCAGTATTAAAAGAACCATTGAACCTCCATCATAAGCATCAGTGTTGGTGGCTCATGTGCAGGGGCGGTCTTACCCATTAGGTAAAGGTAGGCGACCGCCTTGGCCCTCAAAAGCCAAGGGCCCCCTAAAATGCTTTTCATATAGGAGATGCGCATTAAGCGCTGACACGCGAACGGTTGCTGTTTACGGTGTTTATTACCACGACAACCGTCCAACGTGCTTTTTGTGTACCCTGCTTGAAGGAGATGAAAATGTGTGTACTATATGTTTATAATTGTTTTAAATGCCACTTATTTATGAGAAGGAACCAAGTAGAGGACACAGACGCAGTTACTTTTTTGGTTGATATAATCCTTAGGTGTGTAAATGTATAATTGCCTTTTCATTCTTTTTTCAGTTTTATTTAAATTTGTAGTTAAAATAACTAAAAATAAATGTATTTTAAAGTTTAGAATTAGACAGCCTTTGCACACAGGCTTACGCTGGTAACTCATCAGTGGACTTTCCTCGTCAATATTGGCTATATTTTTACACTTTTCTCATTCTATATTTCTGATGTTCCAAAAGCGCCTCCTGCTGGCAGAGAATGAATGTTAATTTTCAATAATCCAGTCTGTGGTTTTTGTTCAGATCAATGCGAAAATCCACCCACATAACCCCGTTTTAAATTAATATAATAATTTATACTTCTGAGTCACCGCTGGTTTAAACGCTCAACTGTGAGGTTTATCATTTTATAATTTATTTGGTTTTTGTGAAAACCTCAACTGTAAATCAGTTGCTATTTCGTGGTCTACAACATGAAAGAAAGCCATTATAACATGTACATGAAAAATGTAGAAACATTGAACACAACTATGGGGCACCATTGTGCAGCAGCAAGCATCACAACAAAAATGGAACCTCAAGGTTGATCTAGGAAAATGGGTGCAAATGTACAGGGCCCCATTCCTATATTTTGGCTGGGGCCCCCAATTCACTAAATCCGCCCCTGCTCATGTGCTGTATGTGTTTAGACATTCCCTTCATGTGTGTGTGTTTCAGGACTGATGGGTTGGATGAGGAAAAGCAATGTAATACTGTTTATGGTAAAACTTTAAGGATCATATATGAAGGATTCATGGCTTTACCGTCTTAAATCATCACTTGTACCGTCACCACAGCACTGTTACTGTTGCAGTGTGTGTGTGTGGCTGTGCAGATGTGCCAGTGCACACACGCCGAGCATTTACATCGTTTTGTTTAATCCTCACAGCAGTGGTTAATTCACCAGTTTAATGAGCAGATGAAGAGGGAGATGATGAGAAACACTGAAGAGCGTTTGTGCTCGAGGCTCCTGTGCGCCTGAGACTCTCAGACGTCAAGAGATATTTCAGCACCTGAATGATGAGGGCTTTTATAAAATAAAACTACATCTAGTTGAGGTTCTTCTTCAAAAACCAACAAAGTTCTGCACGGTCAGTACCTGACTAAACCGCAAGACATGACTCGCTGCGCGGGGCAGAGTGGCTTTACCTGAGAAAACATCACGTTTGCACTGTATCAGTGTTTCTCACACTGCATGTTTAAATCGGTAAAGACAAACTCTTTTCTCTTTCCTCACATAACAAACCAAAGAAACGAGTCAATATTTAAGTCATTTGATTTATTTCAAACTTGAACACGATTAGCATGATAAACCAGCGACATAAATCAAGCAGGAAAAAACTGGAGAGGTTTTCAAGTCTAAACTTCGATCAAACTACAACACCATTTGAATGCCAGAAGCTTCCCGCGCTTTCAGTGGAGACCGTTGTTTTTAACGCCAGCGATGCAGTTGTCGCGTTCGTAGTAATTTGCGGTGTAAATGCGGTTAATCCTTCATTTATAACTGTATACCAATATTTGTGTCGTTAAATAAAGGAGGGTCAATCACAGAGCAGATGAAGCTATGAGTAAAATACACCTAAATAAAGCACAACCTTTTACAAGGAAAATGACAGAAATCGTTATTTGTCATGTCGCACGACTGAACGTTGTTTTAGGAACCTCTCGGGAACATTCAGCTTCATCCAGGACAGAATATACACATTAACAGTCATGAACCCGGCGTCCTTTAAAGAAATATATAACACCAGAATATCTTCTGAAGAAGCATCTGTTCCAGCGCCTTATTTAAGCTAGTTTTGTGGAATCGCTTCCAGCTGTCAAATCAAAAATGAACAGAAAAACCAAGATATACAAACAATAGCATCAAACTGCTTCTGTTAAATAATAAAGACATTAGGAAATAAAAGAAGGCTAAAATCAAATCAAATCAAATTATTTGCACACATCCACTATAATGATTGTACATCTTTGGAATGAAGGAATAAATGATCGAACAAATTAACGGCTAGAGCAGGGTGACCACATCATTACTGTAAACCAAAGCAAGAGATTCAGTCCGTGTTACCGTTATCCCAGAGTCTGTACGGAAAAATCAGCTCATTCTCTCACGGAAATGGTGTCTGCTGCACTTTATTCTCGCACGTTTTTTTCCATTCCGTCTTTTTTCACTTGCATAGTGAGTCTGTGGGAACCATGACAGCAACCTCAGGAAGGGGAGGGGTTTGAGAGTCCAGGCTCCGCCCTCTTTGATATGATACTCACAACGCAACCTCCCTCTGTCTCTCTCGGCCGTTAGACGTTTTCTTCACCTTGTGGATGCCCTCCAGCACTCCGGATTCCGTTATACTGTGTGCGAGAGAAACAATATCACACACTGAACCTCTCATAGAGAAAGAGAGATGGAGAGAGAGACCTACACTTCATCCATCTCCAGGTCCTCCTCGTCCTGAGGCAGCTGTAGATACGGGTTATTTGATGCCGGACGGAACTTGAATCCCGTCAAGACAAAGAAGATCAGAGTAGAAACCTCCACTAAAAACTGCAAACACAAGGAGAGGAAAGACGAAAGATCTGGTTAGGGCTGAACCGGAATGATTTTCTGTGCTACAAATGTTAACTACGTAGCTTATGTTATGTTACGTTATTCTGAAGCAGGGTTGCTCCTTACCTCCTGACACCACTGCCACTGGAACGGCACAGTGAACTGCAGCAGTATCGCGATGATCCGCGTGAAGTAGATATAACACACGATCTGAGGACAGAGAAAAAGCTTTTTAGTTGTCTGCCTTAGAGAAATGATCTTATTAAATGATATTGTAGATGTGAGTAAAGATGAATCTCACCATCACATAGTAATGTCTGAAGAGCTTTAACTTCTCCAGGTTCATGGCAGCTGCACGAGAACGCACACAAGTAGTGTGCATTTAGAAACAAATACACAAATATATACACACAAACAAACAAGAACAATATCGGTATCAATAACTACACCAATAACTAAAGATAACTATTAAGATAATTACACCGATAACTGTCACAATAAATGATGATAACTACATAGATAATTACACCGATAACTGACGATAACTATAAGGATAATTACGCCGATAACTGTAACGATAGCTGACAATAACTATACCGATAACTGTAACGATAACTGACAATAACTATACCGATAACTGTAACAATAGCTGCCGATAACTACCGATAAATACGCCGATAACTGTAACGATAGCTGACAATAACTATACCGATAACTGTAACAATAGCTGCCAATAACTACAGATAAATACGCCGATAACTGTAACGATAGCTGCCGATAACTATATCGGTAACTGTAACGATAGCTGCCGATAACTATACCGATAACTGTAACGATAGCTGCTGATAACTATAGATAAATACACCGATAACTGTAATGATAGCTGCTGATAACTATATCGGTAACTGTAACAATAGCTGCCGATAACTATAGATAAATACACCGATAACTGTAATGATAGCTGCTGATAACTATATCGGTAACTGTAACAATAGCTGCCGATAACTATAGATAAATACACCGATAACTGTAACGATAGCTGCCAATAACTATACCGATAACTGTAACGATAGCTGCTGATAACTATACCGATAACTGTAACGATAGCTGCTGATAACTATAGATAAATACGCCGATAACTGTAATGATAGCTGCTGATAACTATATCGGTAACTGTAACAATAGCTGCCAATAACTACAGATAAATACGCCGATAACTGTAACGATAGCTGCCGATAACTATATCGGTAACTGTAACAATAGCTGCCGATAACTATAGATAAATATACCGATAACTGTAACGATAGCTGCCGATAACTATACCGATAACTGTAACAGTAATTATGTTACCTATAACAACTATAGCAATAACTTCATTATAAGCAATAAGAAATAACGGTAAAAGATTATACTGATAACTATAGTATCCATGATGATAACTGTAATATAATAACATTAACTTTAACGATAATAATAATTATAGCAATAACTATCAGCGTCCACACCAACTAACGATAATGTTCTGTTTATTCTAAACACATTGTTTGTCTTTTTAAAAGAAATGTCCTGAAAATGATTCCGATGAAATGTCGTTGTTCTTTTAGTTGCGTCGTGAACTCTGCTATTAGAGTTAGATCAGTTATTAAAACGGCCTGTACACAGTGTTCCAGGTTTAGACACACACACACACACACACACACACACACACACACACACACACACACACACACACACACTCACCGACACACACACCTCTCACACACACACACACACACACACACACACACACACACACACACACACACA